AGATATCACTCTGAGCTTATTTCGATTTGGGTCGACCCTATTCCGAATTGGGTCAGATTTCGATTTGGGTCAGAACAGTCTCAATAGGCAAGCTGGCTTTGGTGGCCGGTCTTAGTCTGGAGAGAACACGTAAACTAAACATAATGACTCAACGCGTAAAAGAATTTCCTATTGATGTTGCAAGTCTCTCATACCAGTAATAAAAAATTGCCTACACTAAAATTGCCTAACTGTTGTAATACGTGACAGCAAAAAAGGTTAATGTCTGTTGTCGGTCTCAATAAACGGTTTTTATCGATTATATCGAATAACTTGGGTCGATATTGAAATCATAATTTATGTCAGTCGAACTGAAGAAAAGAAGTAAATTACATCCTCTTTCTAACGTCATCCACGAATAATTAGTTCTGATTGCGTAATTTTAACTGTCCACTGGTCCTAACCAGTGCCAGCTTGAATCATTTAGCTCACTTATCGAGATTGACAATTTATTATGTACTGGCTTTCTTTAAGTGAGAAAATTGGTTGTTTTGTTGCAGCATGCCACTCTCACCACTGCATGTGCCATTCTAATATAAATAGCATTTTATTATAAGCAGTACCCCTTGTCATGTCCTATAAAATTAGATGCTCTATTTCTTTCTCTCGCTATTTTATTATATATAATGCATCAATCGATTGACGCTTACCAGCTTGGAAGCACAATCAAATTGACAATTATGTTGACATAATAATTTTGATCGACAGGTTATGCGCCATATTCGGTTATCAACAAAGGAATTACAAATTAGAAGATGACGAACAGCGGCACGCTTTTTCCAACTGGCCTTTCTGGCTTTCTGCACAATGAAAATATTTAGTAGTGCTTCTATGCTTAGTAATCCATTCCAACGCGACAGACCCCAATCGTTCAGCAGTAATCATTTCAGAGACGCTCAGCATGAGGGTCGTATAACTTACGAAAGGAGAGGACGAATGAAAAAGAAGAAAACACGCTATGTAGTGTTGACAAAAGAACACTTGTTGAAATTTAGTGATCCTAAGAATGCATACGAAGTATCCGAGAAGTGGCTAATAGATTCAACGACAAATTATTTTAAAGATATACCCTCAGCGCACGTTCTCATACAATTGAAATGCATTGTTTCTATACGACGTGTGGATGGCTGGAAAAGCTTCCGAATTGACTTTTTACATCAACCCAACAACGAAATTCGTGCTATTTTTTTTCTATGCAGACAATACGATAGAATGGGTTGGAAAACTGAAAGAAACATTGAAGGAGTTAAGCTCTTTTAATGACGATTTAGGAAGAGCAGTTGCATACGATTTAGGAGGTATTGATAGTCAGTCCAAAAAGTCGTTTGAAGGACGAACACTATATCGAGTACTCTTTGCAAGATCAGATTCTATTATTAATTCAAAAGACACGTACTTTGAGAACGCGCAACTGTCTCTGCTCGCTATTGGTGAGACACGCATTCACTTCATTACTAATGGAAATGTTAGGACAGATGGACTATTAATTATTAAAAAAATTATTGTCGATGGGCTTGATGATACCGTTCAGTTAATCTTGCAATCTCCACTCGAACCGGCATATAGTATTCTCATATCCTCAGTTTGTTCGGAATTAATAATAGCTGGCATTCGACAGGCGATAGCAACTCTCGCCCCTTTCTATGAAATTCCAATAAAAGGTACAGCGGCAGCCCATGTGAAGCAGCAGGAACTACCAGCAACGGCGTCTGTAGGCTGTGATGAATCATTTAAAACTCTTCTCAAAGCATACTGTGATGCACTGTTAATAGATCCTAACAGGATCATAATAACTACTACCTCTCAAGGGAATATTGATCCTGCTGGATTGCAAATAACTGTTTGTTCGCCAAAAAATCATATTAAAGACCCGTACTCTGTGAAAGAACTCTTTGCTATTTTTCGCTCTCTCCGGTGTAATACATCAATAATCGAGATTAGCTTCAAGTCAGTGGATTTATCCAATCTCGAAGTAGTCGATAATAACATCGTAGACGTTCAAGAAGATCAAAATGGTATGGACGTATTCCTTAACGGCGTCACAATGCTAACAAGTGAGCTATATTATCTAATTACAACGAACAACTATCTGATAAAACTCGATCTAACTGACTGCAACATTAAGGCGAATAATGTTAGACTGGGTGCCTTAGCCGCAATTGGACTGGCGATTAATACTGGCAAAACTAAACTGGAAATGTTACATCTTGGAGGAAATGTGATAACAAAACCTGATAGATTGGTTATTGAACAGGGTATAAGAGAACGAGAACAAGCGATCAAAGAGTTAGATATTTCATCTCCACCACCACAAAATAGATCGCAGACTGACTCGGAGAATCCTATGATGAGGACGGAATGTGTTTTCAAAATGATCCAAGTCTTATTGGATTTGGATGTTGTTCGTGATACTCTTGAATATTTGAATATATCAAATAATGAGTTGAGCAGCAACGTGGTAACAGCATTGGCCGAGTTTACTGCGCTCAAAACGTTCAAAATGGCTAACATGAAATGTACAACTGCATTCGATCTAACCCAGATATCATCAAACGTCCTGGAAGAACTTGAGCTCAGTGGTACGCCACTCACTCCAAATACCATCGATGTGCTGAGTTCGTTCATTCGAGAAAGCAGCTCTGATTGTTTGAAGACCCTGTCTATTGAAAATTGCCAAGTAAATAGTGAAGCGTTTGACAAACTATGTTCTGCAATAAGTGAATCGCAAAAGCTAAATATTGAATTGAACGTTGGAAACAATCCTCTTTTAAAAAATTTTGGCGTTTTTATCAATATATTTCGGCAGAACAAGACACCATACTATCTGTCTATTGATTCCATCTCATGGGAGGGAAGACGGTTAGTCAGTTTATTTGACGAATTGGGGCATAATACTAGTCTCAAGTCATTGAGTATAGCTAAGCCTATATTTGGAGATGCGAGTGGCAATGCTCAGATGGGGGATGATACCGTTGCTCCGATGAATGACGATGTTGCTAGGGCCATGTCTGAGTTTTTGACGAAGAATAAGACGCTTGAAGAGTTGAACATAAGCGGAAATGGTAAAAATATGTATGGACATAAGTTGGCAATAGCGTTCGATGGATTAGAAAAGAATGGAAATTTGAAGATTATCGATGTGAGCGGGAATAATTTGGGGAAGACTGGAATTGCTTCTTTTTCTAGAGCGATATCAGCGAACATGTCATTAAAGGAAATTTTCATTGACGACAACCAAGTAAGTCATCTCACGCTTCACGTAGCCTCGCCTCGTTTGCAGTATATTTAGTCGAGTAACCTGAATTTTCAAATACTTGTAATTCCCAAATACGTTTGCTGCAGATTGAGGAAGAAGGTCTTAATATTCTCCTAGATGCTATAATATCAAAAAACACGAGTATTATTCGATGCCCGCATCCATCTAAAGATCTTAGACAACTTTCTCGAAGTATTCTAACGAGATTGCAAAACAGTGCTTTCCATATAGCAAGAATGGAAGCCGCCATAACAATCGCTATTGGGTCGACACGCGCTAATGAGAAGGCAACACTAACTGAGATGAGACGTCTCCACAAGGAGTTACAGAATTTAGAAGTTGGTATAAAGACAAAGTTGGATGAGCTTGACAGGGTACTACGTGCTAGAGAAGAACGTGACAAGATGTGGCCCGATTGACCACTATAACATTGAATCGCTGTTAAAACATCGCAATTAGGGAATTTACAACAATGATGTTAACGCGTGTACTTCTTGTAAATTAATTATTATCGTTATCATGTTATGTATTTTAATTATATCTATATGGAGGGTTATACAATATACATAATTAATTTATTGGCAGAACAAAGCCGTATAATAACGAATGTCCTTTCGTATTCATTAAGTATTCTGACAAATCTATGGTATCAAGTCATTGCCTTATTCTTTCCTAAGACACTAAGACAGCTTAATATTATAGTTATTCCAAGTCATTAACATCGTGATGTAAAAGGTTTTCATCATGTCATTAAAAGCCATAATTAAAGGTAACCAAAGATACTCGGTCAATTTGGTCAATCGCATCTGTATATTTGGAATAGAAGATATTTACACTAAACGTTAATGTGATATTCCTACGACAGTAATGGTGTCTGTATTAAGTCCTGATGCCGACATCAAGGCGAATGTTGCCAGTGAGCAAAATCAAGTATATGATATATTATTCTCAAATGGCAAAAGAGAATTTTGAGTTGCAACACCACTAACATAGACTTTTTATTTAAATGGAATCAGTTAGCATCTCAGCATCAATGTTATAATCGTTCACTGCAAATATATGAATTTTGCTAAAACAGATTCAGGGACCCTTTCATTTTTTTTTGAACGTTAAAAATGATAGATTATATTATGACCAGGTGCATTAATAAAATTTTACTTCATCTGAGGCACCACTTTTGTCTGGGTATGTCATTAACACAAAGTTAATTGAAGAAACATTATTTATATTAGGCCTTTGGCAACCAGTTTTAATATTATCAGAAGACTGAAATTTACAACAACGCAGATATCCAAACCCTTTAACCCCTTTAGGCGATAATGTTTTCGAAGTAAAGTCTGCAAAGACCTATTTACGTTAAGATAATTAACAATATGACTTTTAGACTTTTCCATAGACGTTCGCTCCTCGAATGTTTATTAGAGGCTTTAGTTAAATCGTTAGAGCAATCAATATCATTATAGAGATCAGTTTAATTAAAACAATCTGTGGTTTATCGATAGTAAATACCCCATTGGCCACTACTCCTGACTGCTGCCCGTGTCCTATAACTTGTTAAACAGTGAAAAGTTTTTTACACTGGAATGTTACACTGTTACTATTATTTTTTGTTTACGGAAACAATTATAACAGGTCACGATATTATACGACGACATTTGCTGCATAGATAACATCATTTATACGCGATTAATTATATGAGTCATCTAACACGCGTCTATTCACATATAACCTCCTCTCCCTCCCCTCCTCATCCAAAACGCGAATACCTAAATTTAAATAATGTACAACGAACAATTTTCCTGTTTCCTATGCACATTCTGTACAATACAAACAGATTATCAAAACGAACAGTATTCTGTCGCCATACCGTATTACGCACAAATGACATGAACACGTCATCAAACAACAAGCTTAAAAATACACAATAAACAATATGTTGTCGCCGCTCGAAGAAAGAATTCAATACACGCTACTTATACATATATATCCAGGCGCTTTTCTCTATCGCGCATATAACAATATCTCTTCTTTCAAGCATTATTGTGTCTGAGTTCGAGACCTGTCTCAGTTCAGAACCCAGTCACTCAGTCCAGAACTGAGACAGGTCCCTAACTGAGCTACAACATCAATAGTAGAAGCAGGAGAATTATAAATGCGACAGTAATGTTCTTTGTATTAACAGCTCACACAAATTTATATCGTCCAGTAAACCAACGGATTATTGACTGTTATAAAATTATTTCTATTGTGGTATGTCCGAGATCACAATGTTTATTAAAAAATCGCTTACGATTAAACTTTTATTTATCAACATATATTTATTACTTTACATACAAAATCGTATTTGTATTAATAGAGTATTAGAGGCGTCGATTTCAGTGTATGAAAAGTATACAAGCAGTCGATCGATGAGGATGAGATTGAGGTTGAGGGTCTAGTGAAAAAGAGATAAGAAGCCGAATGCGGCAAGATGCGTGACGATCACGAGGTTAATAGTGACAATGCAAGTTTAATTTTGACTTAGCATATGAAATATTTGTCAGGAATCTTGCAATAGAATATTACGTTGTGAACATTCAGTGATCTTTCTTTTAATGTGCTATAATAGTTATATCTTTATATATATATATATTTATTATTAATCGTCGACTATTTATTTGCTATGCAGCAGCGACTGGGTTTTTTGCCGCAGCCCAATCGAAACAGATACGACACAATTATATATAAGTCATTCGGTCACACGGCAATGTCCAAGAATCTTCTTAAGTGAGGTTGTTGAGCGAAGCGGATGATTGTATGCAGAGCAGCTGAAGATGTCTAGTTGAATAGAATAATTTGATCAGTTATTGAATTGTTAAAATAAAACATTTTAATATGTGAGTACTCACTATCATTATTGCATCTTCATTCACATTCTCCACATCATCACAAGATTGATGATAACATGTGTCATAGGCAGCGTTAGCGAAACCGCCAAAAATGCGTCTTTGTTCCTCGGTTTTCTTTGCGCCGGCACCAGTTAAGATACCACCTATGGATATATCCCGTGAGCAAACTGGAATCTATCTCGATTTTTGTATCTCCCGTAAACTTACCCGATGGGATACCATTTTCAAGAAATGGAAGAAAATCACTCCCTGCTTTCATGTCTATGATTTCATATGGTCTTCTAGCAGCTGAGAAATACTCAATAAATGTTTTCTGAATCTTAATCGATGCATTTTGCACCTCTAATGGAGCATCAGTTCCACGGTGTATCTGCGAATGTTAATGCATCGATTGAGTGGAAACAAAAGATCTTAGTAACTCAAAAAGATTCTTAAACTGGGACATTCGATACTTACAAAAGGAACATAATTTGGACTCCCAAGCATGTCAAAGTTCAAATTCATCGCCACAGAATCAATTTCCCCCGTTTCCAGCAACTTCTTGACAAACATCCTTGATCCCAATTGTCCCAATTCTTCAGCACCCCACCACGCAAAAATTAAATAGTTTTTAGATACAAAATGGGCCCGCTCTAATGCAAGCAGTATCTCTAACAAAACGGCTGAGCCAGAAGCATTGTCCACTAATCCAGGTCCATCGGGAACTGAATCCAAGTGTGCACCAAGAACAATAGTGTTATCATACGAAGAGGCTTCACCCCAGCGACAGATGACATTATAAGTGGTGGCGATGGTTAATGTGCTATAAGTACGAATGGAAATGCGAGCAGAATGCTCATTTCTAAGCAACTGGCCTACAGTGTAAGTGGACGAGAGAACAGGTATGCGAATTGTGGGATCTACGTATAAAAAAAGTGTCGTCAAAAGAAAGGATAGAGTTACATCATTAAACGAGATCGATAATGAGGAGCGCAACCTTATAGCATACCTCCTTCGCTCCATGCGTATTTCCTAACTCGGGTGTATATAAGTTCTTGATCTTCTGGGGTGTTGTAGAATATAACAGCCACGGCTCCTTCCTAGTAGCATGCATCGCAATCACAAAAGCATTAGAATCTTATCACGTGTATTTTATTTAGCAACAATTCGCATGCGTTACCCACATTCTCTGCCCGATAGGCAGCCTTAAAGTAGGTACATTTTCCACCATTGCTGATTAATGCAACCTTCCCCTTAACATGTTTCCATTCTTTAACTTCTTGACATCCATAATGGGGTATTTCAACTACAGCAGCATTTTCTACCATGGTAGCTACCCCTCCATCACGCATATCTATACCGAATTTGTTAGTGTGAAATAACCTTACAAGAAAATTCTATAAATGGTCATTACCATATACAAATAAGTCAAAATCATCATACGTACTCCAAAAATCGATTCCTCCTTGTAATGCTATTGTATTCTTCACATCCTTGCCCGTTGGGGTGGTATTCAAAGAAACATTCATTGCAGCCTCCTTGACCTTATTCCAAACAGGAACTTTAAAATACATCCTCTCAGTCTCGCATTTAGTTTTCTCTAGTTGTGAGACAACATACTCTGCCGATTTGTTGTATGAATTAAGTACGGATCGCGATCCATGGCCATTATGCTTAACGGAGGCCCCAGATTTAGCAATTTGGTCAAAAGCTTTGAGATGAGCAAAAACATTACGTGTCAATTGACCTGGAGAAATAATATCTTCGGGAGAACTTTCGTCTGGTATTAGCAGACCAGAATGTATTGTCTAATGAGTTTGCGTTCGCATTACGAGAGAACGGGCAAGAGCTATGCGACTCAAGGTCAAGGCTTACAGAAGTCATGCGGTGCCATAGATATCAATGCTATTATAAGAAAAATAAACAGAAATAAAGCAATAAGTCCATATGGAACACTCGACTTCCGAGAGCTTTCGTTGTCGTTGTGGGCGCTCGCATTTTCTTCAATGATAATAATGTGGCGTTAGTACATAAGCGCATATCAAATGTGACTAAACACAAGTTTCTCACCTCCAAAAAGCGGAGTATTCTCAGAGGGCATTTTACAATATGTAATGGTTTCGCGGGAACAAAGCAGAGGTCACAAGGGCAACCCCGCTATTTATCTTTTGCGCTATTTGGACAGATGAGTTCACTCCCCCACTTACATAATTGCCAAATTTCCTTTTAGCGTGACTAGTAATTTAACGTATCCGGGTTTCTGGATGTTACACATGACTATAAAACTGATCAGATTATCACAATAACCGTTTGTTATAGAATTATTAGGACATTGCAGTATTAGAACGACCGCTTTATTGGCAGAATGTTTACAGCGAGTTGATATTTTTACATTATCTAAGTGCCAAGGTGCACATTAATATGAACGCGATTTATGGTTAAGCTAGGATAACTTGTTTCCGCTTCCTTCTCAGTGCACACTACTGTCAGCCATATGGCAATGAGCTTCGATTTTATTAATGAATACGGAAATCAATTCCTTGCTTACATTCGTCAATAGATGAATGATTTCAGGAATGGGATATGGTTTACGTTGATAATTCTGAAATCTTTGAAAGAAGCAAACTAACAGTGAAAAGAAAGTTTTCGGAATTAAGGGATTGACTTTGTATTAGTGGTAGCTAAAAAATTAAACTTGGCTAAATTTTCATAGGGAGATTGTAAAACTGTCCGTCCAATCTTTTTCATGTAATATGTAATCCCATTATTTATATTAATGATCACCTAGCACGGATGTTTGCATCGTAATTTGTCGTAAATTTATTGCTGCCTGGATAATATATGTATTGTCGTACGTTATACTCGCCCAAATAAGCTAATGAAGTTATAATGTTCGTATTCCTTAATACAGCATTCTTTGCCATTTACAAGGGTAAGTTTTTGCCAAATATTCGATTCCCCACGCAAGTCTCCCTCAAAAAGCGACTGTGAGTGAAGGGTTACATGTTCTTCGTTGCAAATAAGTGCGCTCTTCGGTTAAAATCCTTCTCTATAAGCCAGCGAGAAGACTACCAACATATCCCAGAGCCCCACCAGTTGCGGACGATAATACCGTCCCTGCCATACCCAGGCCAGCTGCGCCGATGCTCTGCATTACAGCGCAAGCGCTTCCAGTTGTCACAAATCCACCGTAAGAACTCATGATAGCAGCAGCAGTCGAACTAGCAGTAATTCCCGTAGCAGTAAATCCAATCGAAGTTATCGCAAATGGAACAAGTACTGGTGCTGCAATCACCCCAGTGGCAGTAACTAAAAGAGACTACGAATGACATATGTATTAAAGGTTTGCGCTCAAGCCATGTTCAATATTAAAATAATGCGATATGAAACTATACCGTAATCATTATGACTTTATTATTATCTTTGGCCTTTATGTGTTACTTATAGTGTGCTTGTTAAAACTGCAGGTCAAAAAAGCCCAATGCCGAATGTTCTTATATACAAATTTGTTTTCTTGCAGATCAAAGACTTTTTGGCTCAACAGTGATTCAGATACCATTTCTATTACTATTGTTCAATGTTAAACAATCACGCCATGCTTCTGATAAACCCCACTGTTGATCCAAAAAGTCGTTGATCTGCACGGAGTTATAAAGACCGTAAGTTTGAGCGCTACCTCGTTCGATTGTATCGAATATTATGGCTTTCAGAAACATTAACTCCGCGTTAGTCTCAACGGAAAAAGAAATCCGGAAGAAAATATCAACAATAGTTAGTATAACTGGTTTGCATGATTTCATCGCCATATCTAGTCTGAAGATTTTGAATACAAACGTACGTTTGTTTGCCCACAGTCGTTTCCCCCAATTCAAACTGAGGTTGCCATTGCAGTTGCGGCCGATGCTCTCACTCCCTCTCCATCCAACCTTATGGCTTTGAAAAGCGTTAATAATAGACTAGTCTCAGTAGGAAAGGATATGCATAAAAAAGTGTCAACTATGGTTAGTATTATTACTTAATCATCATACATGAGCTTTTAAATTGAATACAGACTTTTAACTTTGGATACAAACTGTAGCCACTTCCTTCTAAAATTGCAGTCGCAACAGTTGTCGGTGTGGTTGCAGCACCAGTAGTTGTTTCGGCTGCGGTAACTACGATTGGATTTACGTCGGCAGGGATTACATCTGGTTCGATGGCGGCAACTTTTATGAGTTCTTACGGTGGATATGTGACAGCTGGAAGTGCTTGCGCTTTAATGCAGAGCATCGGCGCAGCTGGTCTGGGTATAACAGGAACGGCGATATCGGTTACGGCTGGTGGGGCTCTTGGTTATACCATTGGGAAAACATTAACGAAAAGTCAGGAGGATGACTCATTGGTCATTGCTCAAGAGCAGAAATAAGATAATTATTGATTACTGTATATAGTAGATTCCTCGACCATAAACGAATGGAGTAGTTTTGATGACTAGCTCGAGTCTACTGTTATTGTAATTTCTCTTTAGTACGATTACGTTGAAGAACACATCGTACATTTACTACTTTGCTTCTCCATTACACTATTATTATCCATATTTTATTAGGCAGGAAGTATCACGTCATAATAAAATAATTTATATCAGCTGTTTCTTCACAAGATTATTCAACATACTTTTTACGCCGGAAAAGATGTTGTTTACATGATGAATTTTATGTCACGAATTCTAATTCATTACTCTAGTACTCCATTCCTTTAACCAAATGATAAAGAAGAGACAGCGCCGAGTAGGTTTTGGATAATGGAGACAATGGTCGGCACCTAGAAAATACTAATCTCACCATCTAAACTATTACCCTAATTATAATGATAAGCTTAACGTCGTCATTCTCGCGTTGTCTTTAACTGAGGTAGAAGTACGTTAATGATAGAACTTTTTGTAAGTTTTCGGCACCTCTTCATTACCCTATGTTGTATGTGCGTAATACGGAGCGATGACAAATAATTGTTTGTATAAGTATGAGCAGGCGGGCGTGTTTGACCTCTTTTCATTGGTTGATGAGCGGGTGTCGTAAAGGATCATCTGTTGGATTTGCGCTTTGGATGAAGAGATGTTGTTGTAAAACGATACACGTACAATGGTCTGAGTATATACAAGTAGACGTGTGTTCGAATTTTTTCAACGCTTATGTGGTCGATAACTGTGTTGTCGTTGTAAGATTTGTTCGTGAGTTGTAACGATCAGTCATACGTAGTAGTGGCAGAGGATTGTTCGTTATGCATTTAAGTTTGGTAAACAATGTCGTATTTGCGTTGGAGGAGAGATACGTGTAAATTGTATATGATTAGCCAGTGGTTGATAAACCGCGTTGTCGTTGTTAAGTGTCAAGAGTTGGTTGCTTGATGATGACTTGTTTGTGCCGTATGGTGCGTAATATGGAGTGACAACTAAGGATCGTTTGTTGTTGACTATTAGACAGCGTTGTATTTGTTTGCTTTTTAGAGGAGAGTGAGGTAAAGTGTATATATATATAATGTCTGAATGGATGTGGGCTCTCGTGTTTGCGTGTTTAAATGATGAGAATGACACATGTTGTATCATTTACAAGTTCAACGTTGTTATCTACACTACCTGGACAAAAGTCTAGCACATCAAATTTTTATTAATTGCACAAAATTGTACGTTTCAAAATTTAACCAAGTTTAATTTTTTAGCTACCACTAATACAAAGTCAATCCCTTAATTCCGAAAACTTTCTTTTCACTGTTAGTTT